CATACGAAAGATTATTATGGGCCTTCAAAGTTGAAGGTGCGCCTTCTTAGAATTTTGGGTTTTCCACTTCTAACAGAAGTACTTTCCGGAGAGTTAGGCAATCCTTGTAGTTTTCTGAAAGCGCACCTCAGGCACAGTCAAAATCTACCTCAACAAGTCAAAAAAGTACGTCCCAAGAAAGTTATTCCCCTCTAAATTATTTCTTCTCCGCGTCCCGTTCTCTCAGCGCCCGGGTGATACCTGCCGCGCTCCAAGGCTAACGCCGCAACGCAGCCGCGCCCAAAGCTTCAAAATTTCCTTGAGTCTTAGCGCCGTTATTATTTACTGCTTTGTTTTCATTTTTTGTTTTGCGTTTCTTCGTTACATATTCAAGGCGTGAATGTGCTTCTCACTGCCTTCCGCGTGGACAGCAGCTCAAGCTCTCGTGTCCACGCGAAGCAATGAGAAGTCCCTTACTCCTCCTTTTGTCTGAGTGGGTTTTTTTCATGTGTGCAGGGAGTTCTCTGGCATCAGGTGTAGGTGTAAATCTGCTTTTCACTGCCTTTGCGTGGACAGCAGCTCAATTCGTGAGCTGCTGTCCACGCAAAGGCAGTGGGTTTTAAGTTGATGTGTCCGCAAACGATTCATTTTCTCCTCCTTTTCTGTAAGTGAGTTTTTTCATGTGTTCAGGTGGCTGATCTATGATCTCTATAAAAATTTGAGAACATGAAGAAAATTTTTGAGTTCTGCATTATTACTTGAGTTTGAATTTTTCAAAAAATTCAAAGATGTATTGCGAAGAATAAAAGAATGGCAATGTAATAAAATGTAAATGTGAATGTATTAAAACATTGGCAGCACACTTACACTTAACAGCACTCTTAACAGCAACAGGGGGGGGGGTCGCAAAAATTCCGAAAAAGTGCGAACGTGACGGTTGGCCCTCGTATGCAGGAGTTTTCATTCAAACTGAATGCGTTGGCATCGCTAGGGCATCACTATGTGATGTGCAAAGCGCATCGTTTTCGCCACCATTCATTTATTGTGCACTGCACAGCACCAACTTTTCCTCACTCACTCGGATTCTAAGCCTTAGCCCTTGTACACTCGTAATGTCTGAGAATGTACAAGTCCCTGGCGACGAACAGCATCTTGGGGTTAGATGAGTTCAGCACACACACTGATGATATACAATCTCACACACACCATTGTAGCTTTTCCACCCTTCAACTTCTTTCATGCCCCACAGAGTCGTTTGCGAAAAAATGCTTATCCGAATAATGTTTTGTTCAGATCAGAGAGGAGAGTAGACCAGGAACCGCGGTACACTCAAGAGAAATGTGCATCATCCTCGAGAAAATCAACCTTTTCTTTCATTATTTCTTCGAATCGTTTATTTTTGAAAGAAGACACTTGCTTACCTTAGCGACGTCATGTATAATACACTTTTTGCATACGATGGAGGAAATTCGCTGCCTATGGATATCGGGTTTGGTTCATATATTGCTGAAATGAGAGCATGAGCAAAGCATAATAGATATTACAGTGCGTTTCATAATTGTAAGCGCACCCTCGGCAGACTGGCAGACTTTCCTCTAAAAGTATACCTACTTTAGACGACGTAGCAGTCATGGAAAAGGCACTAGATATTGCTGTCAAACTGATTGTAATCCTTGAAGTCCATTCTGCAGGTCACTAAGGGGAGTTCCATCATAATATTATTACGGAAAGCAACCCAACTTTCACCCTTCCTCCACCTACGAGCGATAAATCAGAAGGTCTGTCTTTGAAGGTTACTCCGAAAGCGATTAATTCGGTTGGAACTGCTCACATTAACCTTCTCCATTCAGAAAAAATAATCTTAATGAGACTATCAAGGTATAAGATTATGAAACACACGGTACAGTAACTTAGAGACCGATAATAACAATTTGCTCTCTACAAGGCAACCCTCTGATGGCTCGAGAAAGGTAACCAGGAGCGCTTGACTCACAGCTTCATTTTCATGTTGCAAAACTGCCCAAATGAACAATGGAAGTGTATATACATCATTACCAATAATGAAATTTTAATCCTCCTATTTTCTATTTTATAAACCTGCTAAGCTTGTGTGTCGAGTTTGTATATATAATTCTGTATGCTATGTATGTGTGTCCGTCCGCAAAATGAAGTGAGTGAGAAGGAAGCTCATGGGATAAACAAACCGCTAACAGAATCATGTAGCTCACAGGACTTAGCTATCAGTGTTTTGCAATGGCATGATTGTGATAACACCCCAACGGCTACATAAACACCTACTGAGGTCACTTCCGGTTATTTCACATGGTGCTGCGGTGGCAGCTGAAAAAAAAATTTTGAAGAAACCCGAGGCAGGGTCAACCGTTACGTTGGACCGACATTGGACCGACGTTGGACCGACGTTGACCGCTCTCCGCGCCGGCATTCGCACTCGCCTTGCGCGAGCCGTCTGTGTCTCCGTGCGTACGTTCACTCTCGGCATTACTCTCACACGCTAGAGAGCCATGCGTTGGACTTTGTCCAACGGACGGTTGACCTGTTTGTGGAAAGCGGGGGAGGGGGGGTGAAGTGTTCGTGGAGGGTAGGCGGGAAACCATTCTTCAACAGGCCTTAGGATGCAATTAGATTTTGGAAGGTAACTTTAGGCCGTGAGCGTACGCTGTGAAAGAAGGTCCCGGCGGTTGACGGGCGACAACCCCCTTCTAGAGTGATAAACGGGGCCCCAAGGTCAGGAGGCCCACGCGACATTTGCGTTACTCAAAGTGCAAGGAAATAGCGCTAGGATCTTGACTTTGTGCGTGCTGCCGTGCTGCCATCCTTACCGACGACTGCATACGTGGTCCCTGCGCCCTCTAGCGTACGACGTACTATCTCACGTTCCCTCTCCTCGCAGCGCTGTGTCTCTCCTGTCATACCCCGGCCGACCTAATAAGAAAAATAGTGTTTTCTACAGTGCTTTTTGCTTTTTCTCCCCACTGACGTTCCTCAGTACTTGTCAATTTCAGGCGAAATAACGCATCAATCCAATCTCGACTCGTGCCTTTAAGGCGTAGATCAGCAAGCAAATCCACTGCGCAGATTTTGCCGTTACTTATGCAGAAAGTATAATTAATAACCATATCATAAATTTCATATTCAGACTCACCTCCCACGTAACAACGAGATCATCACCTGGAGGAAGCCCTTGTTGGATTCGCTTAGCCAACACTGCAGCGGTGTATGTGTTGGGGTATTTGTAGTACGGCATATCAATAACGATATGTTTTGAGTAGTTGCTGTAAAAACTACTCAACATGGTCGTCATTTGGTTGTCATTTTATTTTCATCAGTGTTACTTCTTCCTCTTCCTCATCATATTACCAAACTACTGAAAATTGCCCAGGTGCGTATCTATGTGGCATTTCTGTGGCAGAAGGGGCTGAAGGATTATTATGGCGTCCTAAAGGGTGACACATGTTCCGGCTTCTGATGAGCGTGATTGACAAATTGACAGCATTCTCCTGGCCTCTTCGTTGTTTGTTCTCTCGCCAGCGTTCAATATCATCGAGCTTGGTATACAATGCTAGAGGCATACTTGAAGAAACAGCCTTCTTTCGCGGTTTTCGCATTTTCTTTTGCATTTTCCTCTCCCAATCAGCCATCCAACATTGGCCATTGGATGGAACAACTCACTATCGGATTTTGCTCCCTATTTATTACCGTAGCGCGCTTTTAAAGGCAGGTAACAGATTTGACGCCACACATTGTTTCCTTTCTCTCTGGCACACATGACTCCTATTGCACACTCAAATGTCCTACTGCACTACTTCAGTGATAGAAACAAATCAATGGAGGAAACGGCGCAAGAATAGCTCTAACCATAAGATTACATGCTTCGTGATTGTATGGTGAGGAAGTATCACGGGCTGTTGCCTTGATAAGCAGAAAGTGTTACCTGAAGAAATCGACATTGGACTGAAACTGGTTGTACATAAGATCGGTTTTGAGATCTTTTATTGGCGCCACGATCGGTTCATGTCTGAAACAACATTGTAATAAGTCCACTGCTTCGGAAGCCAGATAGCTGAAAGATTATTTCTCCTTTCTTGTCAGACCAAGTCCAGCACAAGTAAAGCTGACCAAAGTAAACTACATTACCGCTCCTAATTTTTGAAACTTCGTAGGTGTGCGAAGGAGAAGGACGCCCCCCCCCCTATAATTCCCTCGAGAGCGGGTAAAATGGAAAGAATTTACATCAGTGGACTCGATTGCGTGTAGCGGAGGACTACACTGATGCTAGTGTAACTGTGTGCAAAACTAAAAAATGTCAAACATGTGAAGCTAGTGATACGACCTCTGTCCGCAATAGATGAATATTAATTTTTCAAACGGTCACAGAAAAAAGTGTGGATGCGCGCAATTAATTGATCAGGTCCCATTTCAAAGATACAACAGCTATTCACATACCTTGTTTTGTTGGGGCGTTCGAAACCTCAGAATATATCTCAGGTTCAGACATATTCCCTTCGTGATAGCAGCGTAGCGGCGTGAACAATTACATCAATTACATCAGCAATGTCTCCCCCCCCCCCCCACCACGATGGACAACACACCTCGGAATTACTCCGTAAAGTTAGCTCAGGGCGCTACCGCAAGATACGGGGGCATAGTGGTGGCAGTGCATTCGACACCGCTGCATTTGAAACCTCCTTGTTGAAACCGGGACTAAGCCTCAAAGGCAGCGAATACGGAGAATTCAAGAAGGGCTTGTTGTAACGTGGTGGTGCTCATGGTACGCCAGTGGCGAAAAAAGCGGAAAAATCCGTCAAGAAAACGCAAAACGGGACCCCTTTTTGGCCGTTGGTTTTCACTCATGAACAGGTAACAGCTCAGAAAGTGGACGTATGAACGAGTTCACCGCAACGCGTTTGATGGCACATGCCAAATCATTCAATCGAGATGCTCCATTTGTGCCGCTGCTGGCAACGCAGCTCGTCCAAATCACCAAGTAAACTAGTGGGCGGATCGCTTTTGGGGGCGGAGTGCTTTCGAAGTCCTGCTCAGCAACCAGCGCACCTTTCGTCGTGAAAGCGCCACACCTCGCTTCCCTGGCAGCCAAGTAACTGCTTCGTGTGGTGCATATGCTTCCCCGATGCGCTCCCTCTTTATCGTAATCGCTGCCTTCAAGTGGAGAAGGAGAGACTTCAGGGTGCTCCGCTCCTTTCTAAGGCTTAGTTCTAGAGAATGCTCCGTATCCTGCGAAAACGCCCGGCTCAGTGTTCACTAATGCAATAACAAGGCAACACTTTGTAAACCTACAAGCTGTGATGTACGTTGATCAAGATGTCGGGCTTTTCATGTTGCACCACCATCCTTGTCGCGTTCGAAAAATCTGGGCACCAGTTCGACAGTGGAGGGCAAGCTGAAAATTGAAACTGAAAATGAGTTTCCATTGCAGTGAAAAATTTTCTTAGTCAGGTGTGAAGTAGCGTACTTTTAGTGTATCGATGCCATTAAGAACCCACAGCTTCGGGAGTAGAGTCGGAAAGTGCGGTAACGGCCGGCCAAGATGC